CCTGACATTGTCTAAACTACATATAAGAGTTTGGAACATGTGAATCATCAGAATTATTGACTAGGTTTTTGACGACCGGCCGTCGGGCATCAAAACTCTTTGTAAACTACTCATATCCGGAACAAATATCCGAGGGTAACACAAATACTTGTCCCGTTTGGTAATATCGAACCCACGACCCCCGGCTGTGGATCCAAATAGTTTAGCAACAACGCCACCGAGTCATCAGCGTTGTTTTAAAATGAAAGAGAAAAATAATTATTCAGCCACCTAGATTATCAAACGTAATAACTATTTGATTATTACGTATGTAAATCTATCTGTAAGTAGTTGTATCTATAAGCACTTGTGTGCCGAACAGTACTATATAATACTATACAGTGCCAGAACAGTATATATTGCTCTCGTAGCGCACAACACGATTGTACGTATTCGGGACAAACGGTGAAGGTCGCGTCCCATCGACCCGCTCGGTGAATTACGTAAGGAGCTTTAGCAAAGAACTGACGAACAGAAGCGACGCCCTCCATCGGAAAGAAGTGTACAATCAAAGCCATAAATAAATATGTGTAATAATTATAACAAAAAATTGCAAAACCCTGAAGTCATTGAAAGTAAAGTTATTTTACAAATTATAGAAAAGAACTTCGCAATAAGGCTGTATTGTGTACAAGTTTAATAATTTCCAAGCTCAGTAAAGATTGGTTAGTGAATCCGGACAAAGGAAAAAACAACTTTTAATTAACTGCTGTTATTAATTCGTAAGCTGAGTGGATTTTATTTCTGTTGAATAAATATTGTTGGAATTTACTTGTTCCTTGTACAAGTTTACCGCAAATAGGACTGAAGTCACGCAAAGCTTAACAGAAGCTTTTAACTCAAAAGCTTTAAGCACAACCTTTTAGTTCTTTCAATTCTGACGAGATTCACCGGGAATGGACCATACTTTACCAAGCTTTTTAAGTACGCAACTGTGAGAGGTGACTTTGTAGCATTTCGGTACAGACACCTACGTAAATTACAGGATTTCTTTAGGTGACCATATGGAAAATAGATAACTTAATAGCAAATTTCTCTGCATTTGTTACACAAGATCTCCAGCCACTACGCCACAACAGGATTTAGGTAAGGGCGTAAATGAAATGAAAAAACCCAATTTTCAAAATGTTGTCAATGCATCTGCAACCCTCGGGTGTAGCAGATGTCCATGGGCGTCGTTATTCACTTAACATCAGGTGAACCGTCTGCTCGCTTGGCAATTTTTCACATAAAAAAATAAGAATAGCTATAACATAAGACTTTCTACGAAGATCTATATAATTCCCAAATTAGCAGTCATGTTTTAAATAATCGCAATTATTTAATTAATGGTAAATTTTATGTAGCGTTAACCCTAAGAAAATATTGCTAAATTACTATACGGAATTACGGACCCCTATGCACGAACGTATTGTAACTAACAATATTGTAAACCTTGAACACTCCCTGTTACACAAGCATAAATACATATTCACAAACGTAAAAACTGCTATTTCAATAAGTAGAATTTAAGAAAACACTTTCCGGGGCGGCGAAGACTATTCTACAACGATTATTTGGTTTTACTTAGTTAGTGATAAAGAATTTAAATCTAAAGCATTAGTTTTTGTAACATATCGACATCAGAAAAGTAATTTGCTGCAAATCGCTAAATAGGGTCATTGACACAACTTTTCCTTTCTTCCTAATATCTTAGTTGATTATAAATACCCTCTTATGGGCAAGAACATGTTTTATATTTTATTTTATTTTCTACATCAACCGAAACTCGGCTCCTCTGACCCAGATAGTCAATAATAAGGGCTATAACGGTCTGCGGTAGCGTTGGCTTACGGATTCCATATCGGCGTCGGTCAGGTCTGGCGCCGGCTGTGCGTAAAACGACACTGACGCAAAACGCACGTATTGTTTGCGCAACCACGTATACTTCGCTACAGAAAAGAATTAACTGTGGTAGGGCCATGCAACAGTCTTCGCTGTTGCACGATTGGGCAGGTCCATCCGAGGAAGTACCACGACTTTACAGAAGACCGGCGTTAAGTACAAGTGTTGTACCTCTGCGTTTCGTCTGGTAACCGGGGCGCAGTTTATTAAAAGGTGACAACGCATCTGCAACTGCAAATGTCCATGGGTGGCGGTTATCACTTAACATCAGGTGAACCGCCAGCACGCTTACCACCTTCTCACATAAAAAAACTCGGTGCCTGGTAGGCAACGAGTAATTCTCCTGTGTCTGTCTCCGATTAGGGGACAAGTGGCTAAAGCAAAGTATGACATGAACAATTTTGGGATGGCATATGAATAAGCACCGAGTCTAATGGGCAGTTAGAATCAACACCCATAGATACATACACCACCAGAGACCCTGAATGTGCAACCGGAAACCCGTCTGGTTGGGTCCTATTTATTTATATATCATATACAATATTTATGTCTATATGTTTATTTATATTAATAAACCCAAGCAGACGAGAAAACAAATAAATATCAACAAATCATAAAAATGTAATAAAGAAAAAAATCATTTAAAACACTGTAAGAATTCGTTCCCATTGAGGGTTGAGGAAGGCACGTGCGTGGTAGAACAATCAGCTTATTTTTTTTTTCTTTTTTTTTATATGGAACTAACTAGCGCTTGACTGCCATCCCACCTGATGGTAAGTGGCGATGCAGCCGTGGATGGTAAGCGCGCTAGCTCAGTAAAAGCCTATTCACTCTTGCCTTGAAGACGCCTACGTTATAATCGTATGGGAAGACCGACGCCGGCAGGGTTTTGTTTTCATAAAGCGATATTTATTGTTATATAGAAATATTTATCGTCGAGTACTATAAGTGGATATTTATCGTAAATGTCATTTTATTTTAGAGATAAATTATCGTAGATTCACAGTGAAAGCTATCGCACAAACTACACTAGGTATTTTATTTGGACAGGGATTATTGAGCATTGAAAATGTACTGAAGAGGACATACAAAGAAACATTTAAGGAAAATTTGAAAACGTTGAATTTCATCCAATTTTTGTTTTCGTTAATCATTAAGGTTTTTGGTATGATAATTCATAAGTACAATGAACAGACGCAAAGTAGATAGTTCATACTTTATACTTTTTTTCACAGTCACAGTTGCAAAAATACTTTGATGTTCCTAAAACAGAGCGCGGACAACGCATCTATAGTTATAAAAACATCTTAGTACCGAGCCTTACTGTTCACATTTTAAATCAAAAATAAAATTAATAAATTATTCATCGAAGTGAGAAATATACATTTCATCTATCGATAGTTATTTTTTAAAAGATACGACAGATCAAAGGCCGTATTGGTTTCGTTCCTTAGCACTGAGTATTAAGAAGACAAACTCACATGGCGTAGTTATAGGCGATGCCTAAGTACCACAGGGTGAAGATAATGATCCCCGATGTCTCCGGCATGTCGCGCAGTTATGCTACGAAAGATAGAAAGATGAACATAAAATATAAAAAAAAAACATCTCACATTAATCTATTTATCTGCTGACCGTACACAAATAGAACCGCAAAACGCCTCCAAGCCGGTTTATCTACAATGTATTAGTAAGGAACGGAAATTAAATTTACGCTCCACTGTCACATTCGAATCGTGACAGGTGAGGCTGACGTATAACTCGGAGAACCGATAACCGATGGGGAAGAAAGGTTCTCAAATGGCAGCCTCGTACTGGCCGTCGCAGTGTAGGAAGAACCTTCAATAGATTAAGTGACGACCTGTGCAAATGTAAGTCGATGGATGCAGGTGGGTCAGGATCAGTAGCAGTCTGTGAGGTCTATGTTCAGCAGTGGACTCAAACAGGCTGAAATGGTGATGATGGTGTTTATACATAATTAAATCAAACGAAAACATTTACGAAGTATGTGTTTGATAGCACTCGTATAATCGAATAACACTAAAGTATCCTCCTCTAAAATATAGTCTTTATCGAGCGTATACGATAGGGACATACACAAATCGACTAACCTTCGTGTCATTGACGGTAAAGAAAATTAAGGTAACGTATCATCTCATATGTTTTAGGCTCTGATCCGAAAACCGAGCAGCTTTTACTATAAAAATATGAGCACAGTTTCTAGTTCCAACAATTATTTATAAACTACCAGCGAAACTTGCAATTCGAAGATCTATATCATATCACAACTTAAAGTTACTTACTTTTAAAGTGTTATTCAACTTAGGGATGTTTTTTTATGAATTCAACATTATATTTTTAGGTCACCACATTTTTATGTTTTTTCACACATTTTGAATAATTTTATTAATCATCCAAAGACAGCAATGTTATGTCAGATTTGACAGTAAAGTATTCCAAATTTTGTGTACTAACTATATTTTATAGTAAATTTGTCAAAAAGGACGAGGCTAAACAAGAAAGTAGAATAAAAATTCTACTCTAAAATTATTTATATTTTAAAAAGAATTGTATTAAGTGTATTTACATACCAATGGTAAAAACCCTAATTGTTTGTATAAAATTCTTCCAAATATTGTATTTTCAAAAGAAAATATGTCTAGATGGTTATGAAGTGTTGCTGTTATTAAAAATTAAACTAAAGGAAAAAATAAAAACTACAAATTACTGTAACAGATTGTTTAATCTCTTAATAATAATTGCAAAAACAAAATATATATAGTAGAAGTTGTATTAAAATAGTTTCTCAACACCAACTGATACATAAATGTATATAATCACTTTTAAAAACGTACGTACGTACCGTAAATGTAGACCGCATATAAAAAAATTCGAAAATTGTTTACTTAACTACTAATCTCACTACAAATATCAATTATCAACATATATTTTTTTACATTTTTCATCTTCGAGAAGACTAAACACACTAAATATGGAATGAAGAAGGATTCAATACATACTATTTTAAAACCCATTTTATATTTACTAGGTACATGCACAGTACAAGACAAATTTTATGCAGCTGTGACAAAGCCCTTCTGCAGCTTCTCCACATACTCTTTTCGGCAGGGCATGTCATCAGCTGGTCGGTTGTAAGGCAGCCAGACAGGTTCTCCCACAAAAAAGCGCTTAGCTCTAATGAAGTTCTGGAATTAAAATAAAAGAGATATCTTCTTCTTCTTCAGCGAGTGTTCGCCCACCGTTGGGCATACGCCTCTCCAATTTTATCATTATTGGAGGTATTTAGCTCGATACTCGGCACGTCAGCCACACGTCTTGGCGAGCTCCACACTTTCAGAAAATATTTCCATTTTTCTGGGTTTGTGGCAACCTACATAAGTCGGGTTACTTAACCGCCGCCCGATGCTCGGCGTTGTCTTTCAATTAGCACCACCTGGGAATCTAAGAGTTACCACCTACGGACGTGAAAGACGACTACCCCCCAAAAGAGATATATCCAAAGTCAATTTTAAAATTTCTTTATTCGATACAGGCTTGTTTTAAGCTCTTATTGAATGTATAAAAAAAATTAACACCAATTCACTTATTGAGACCTGTCCAGATAAGAATTGGCTAGAAATTCTGCAGTATTGTCAAGGTCAATTCGTTAATATAAACTAAAAACAGAATTGGACCCAAGATCACAAACACACAGATCAACAAAAGATCACAGAACACACTAATGGCGTCATAGAAGTCCTCCCATGACTGTAGGCTATGCAATACTATAATTAGTAGCACATTCCTGCATCAGTTATAGATTTACCAAGTAGTTATTAATGGTCAAGATCTCTTTTAACGTTTCGTTGTTTCTTTGTTTCCAGAGATCTACTGATGACTAATAGCCATAAAAAAGTGTGCTTATATGGATAAAATCCAAAACTAAGAGCAATTTAATAATTTAGACCAGTCCAGAAGAGAAATAGTCAGAAATCTATGTTGACTCATTGGTATAATTAACTTTTTTTTTCAATACAAGTCTGAGCAAAAGCCATTTACCTACACTGGATGTGCCCTTCAATGTAATTGGGTCTTCAGCAATGGACTAATCAAAATATACTCTAGTTGCATATAAGCAACAATATTTTTTCAGAAAAGTTTGTATGTACTATATGCAATAATTTTTTTCAGTTGCAAAGAAGTCCAATTTACTTTCATAATTTTTCCATTCAAAACATTAAATGAACAAAGCCACTAAGGTTCATTTCATCTACTTAAGGTTAGTTAAAAACAAGAATCATGTTATCTATAACTCTTAATGTGTTTTACTGTATAAATGAAGGGTGTTTCAAATAAAAATTCCCTATCATATTTATTTTAGAGGGAACTGCTTTACAGGTTGCAGCATTATGCAAAGTATATCTGTAGTCACATTATACATTCTTTGGTGTTATCTCTTATATCTAATTTTATTCGGTTTGGTACATATACCATTCCTAAGAAAGAAGATATAAGAAGATTATTTAATTAAAACATGTAAAAAAAGATTATTTAATATTATTGTAATTCAAGCATGAACTTGACTAATCATGTTAATTTATATCCATGTGGTATTTATATCCACTCGGATATTATATTAAGCAGGTATCTTGTTTAAAAAGAATGTTTCCTAAGATTGAATTCAAATTATCATAGTATCATATAATAATAAGGTTAAGTGGTTGCATACTCACATTAGTATCCAGTGTAAAACGGTGGTAGATTCCACTGGGTATGATGATCATGTCACCAGCCGAGACTGCAATGCGTATCCATTGATCACTACCGTCGCGCACATCAAAGTACCCTGAACCCTCCACAACAAACCTGTAAATTTGTATTGATTTTTTTTAATATATCATAATAAATATACCCAATATAACATTTTTTTGTTAGTTCGTTACAAACAAAAAGAATGTGGAAAAAAATAACACCATTGGATAAAACAGATATAAAAAGATATATTCATATAAAAAGAAAAATAAAAGATCAATTATTCTCCCCATGTAGCAGTGCCTTAAAATACATTTTCTTTAAAATTTATGGGAACTCCACAATTGTATAGGAGAGCTTAATCTTAAATAATTGTGGTGTTGAATTGTGAGGTGATTAGAAATATTAATTTAATTCTGATTTGTTTTTAAGAAGACATGTTTTATCATCATGTATAAAAAATATCATAAATAAAAAAAAAAGATCAAGTGCGGGTTGAATTTGTACACCAAAGGTTCTGTACCTATCCATTATACCACCATAATATAATTGGTAAATAATCGCAACTGATTTACTCAGGAACGGTTGGACCTAACAAGTTGAAATTTATACTAGATACTGAGGTCAGTAGTCTCCCATATTAGGTGTAAAATCAAGGTCCTGAGTCAACATGATAAAAAGATATGGGCAAATTTAGATTTTCACGAAACCTTGTAAATTCCAAAATTTATCTTAATAAGGTAAATTAAGATAAATTTTGGAATTTACAAGGATTTTTCTTTGGGCTGTAGGACCTTGCTTTTTTGCAAAATTTCCGCAACTATTATATATATAGGTTTATATATATGGTAATTGCGGAAATTTGTTCTATAGGTCTTCGACCCAAAACCTTAACGGTACTTCTAGAATTATAAATAAAATCAATAAAATATAAATCTAGAATTATCAATTTTGGTTAAAAGTGAAGTCTTACAGAAAAAGTAATGGTAAAATTAAAAAAAAAAATCACACCTAATTTCTTCATCTGTATGTAAATGTTCCATGAAAAATGCCTTCAGCTTCTCCTCAAAATTTGGAATACACTCCTTAGAGCATGTTATCTCATCTTCATAGCTATATCCACGCTCTTCCTTGATCTTGTCTAACACTCCATCTGTTTGGTAACTGTTAACATTTATCTGTAATACACAAAAGATTTTTTTTTGGGTTAAACATGTATTTTAATAGTAAATATATTTAAGTCCTACAAATAATGATAAATTAAATAAATTATCATCCTCCTGCCCCTATCCCACTTAGACGGGTTAGTATAACATGAGAACAATGTTGTAAATTATCATGGCTAGGTTTTATTGGACTGTCTGTGCCTAACATTTAACCTCCTTGGTATCAAATACCCATATTAGGGTAGCAATTATTTGTGTGTCACACATTTTATGCCCCGTGTGGGAATCGAACTTAGCGCTGCAGCCAACAGTTTACCAACTACGACACCACATCATCATAAATATTGATCAATGAATAATAATAAATTAGCCAATATAGTTTATATAAAGTTCTTAAAAAGGAATGACCCGGATATAATGATAAGGATTAACCTTAAAAGTACATTAAATATAAGCAAATTTGTATAAAGTAATGCAATGCTTGCAATACGATAGGGTTATTCAAATGGCGCAATAAAATGATTGGGGTTAAAGTTAAAAACTTATAATTTATTAACATTATCTACCTTGTATTGTTGGCGGTCAACTGAAATCTAGCATTGCTATGATTTATTATATTTAACATGAAAAATGAAAAAAACATTCATAAAATAATAATTATGTATAATAAATATTTGTCTGGGACAGTGATTCTCAACCTTTTTTTTGTTGCGGCACATATTTAACGATTTCAAAATTTGGCGGCACACAAAAAAAAAAAAGATAAACTAATATATACTACAATAATAACTAAACGTTTATTAAGGGATTAATTACAAGTTAATAATAAAAATATTTTTAATGCGAAATTTGAGCTTGATGTTTTTTGATAATTTCATTTACATTTGGTCGTAAAAATGACAATGCTACTCTCATATCGTCGTCTTCTACATTTAACAATCTTGATCTTTTTTTAGTTTTAATGTTGGCTAGTGCCAAAAAATACTTTTCTTTTTAAATGATATAATTTAATAACATTAACATTATTATATATTTGCAAAATTTGGCGGCACACAAAAGTGCCGCGGCACAGTGGTTGAGAATCACTGGTCTAGGACTTACATTAAAATACTCCACACCGGTTTTTTGGTACAATTCATCTACAGAAATGAATTCTGGTGGGTTCTTGTGATGTTCTAAGCGTTGATCTGTTGGATCATTATCCATAAACCAGGCCTTAACCATTTTTTATAATTTATAGAAAAAAACTATAATTACGCCAATCGATCTATAATATCAATTAGCAACATTGACAATTTGACATTCTTCTCAATATGGCAGTGACAGATAACAGTGTTTCTATATATAAATCAAGAATTACCGTGTTACAAGGGTAAAAATACGGCGTTTCGAGACAAAATTACGGTGAATCTACTAAAAATGTACCGTGTAAATTACAGTGTAATTTTTCAAAAGCAAAAACAACATTTTGAATCAAATCAAGTCAATCAAAAGTATATTTGATTTATTTTATATTATTATTTTTTTATATTATTTTGCTTTTTTAATTATTAACAAAGAATATTTAAATAACATGAAAAATATAAAACTCAACTCACTCATTAATAATAATAAAACAAATATTAACAATAAAACCGTAAAATCCCTCTCTAATATTTAAAATGACGACTATGGTATTCTAAGTAATAAGCTTGAAATTGAAATAGTTCTTAGATTTAAATGTTTACTACGAAAAGCGGATCTAATGCCAATGGCATTCTCTACCACCGTACCTAAGGGTTGGTCTAAAAAAAGAGAGGAAGGTGCACAAAATGTATAAAACGGTAAAAAGGTATATTTATTAAAAAAAATACATGTACTGACTGATTGACTGATCGTCTTGCAAATTTTGATTTCGACGTGGGCCTATTAACGCGTCGATCTGCAATCGATGGATTTACCATTTTTTTTTGTTACAATGATCCATATTTTCAACTGAAACATTCGAGTGAAACATCACACAACTCAATAATAACTTTACACTCAAATAATGTGAACGATATCGACATGGAGTACATTACACGTTATATAGATGATTTAATAAATGTAGGTTTTATGGATGCATCCTTTGATTGCAGCACTACCGAGCAGCACCAGTAGAATTCTCTTAGGATGTAAGATTTGTATGGTCTTAAAAAAAAGTAAAGTAAGAGCCTAGAAATGTCTCACTGCTGGGTAAAGGCCCCTATGTACAGAAGGTATCAGGGCATAGTCCACCACGCGGATTGGCGGATTTCACATATCTTTAAAAAAATTTGATATTATTTCGAAAATATGCAGGTTTCCTCATGTTTTTTTCCTTCACCTCTGCGCCCGTGATAATTCAGCACTGAATATTAACAATCTCATTGTTGCCGGCACCGGGGATCGAACTCAGGTTGCTCGAGTATATGGAATTAAAAGCGAATTTAAAGCGAGCGGACTATAAGCTATCACGACTAGTGCACTCTTACATATTATGTGTAATTACTATGAACTTTTAGTTATTCCTTTGTTTAACTATTTTAAGGTTTCTTTTAAGACATACTATTGCCACGAAGCACGATCCTGAGCCACCTGCTTCGTGTAACCTGTGGGGGAGGCTTTCAGCCTGTTTCCTGTTTCCACTGCTGAACATAAGCAGTGGACTCTTAACAGGCTGAAATGATGATTATGACCCCACTTAACTTTTTTGTTTAGGAAATATTCCCCTCATATCAATATCCATTAACTGATTACTGACTGGACAAAGATTACAGAAGATGTATAAGAATTGTTTATCCTATTCATTAATGGGGATTAATAAAAGATACAGAAAGTAAGTTCACTCTAGTAATTTATTTCTTGTGAAATATAAGTTGACAATAAATGTAATATGTAATTTAAAGAATTCTTCACACTTATGTTATTGTGTGCCTCGTTTTTAAATAAAATGATCTTTACATCAAGTTATTCACAGAAAGAGGTACCTCTTTCTGTGAATAACTTGATGTAAGTTAAGATTTTTTAGACTTTTCCCGATTGTTATGGATTGACAAATGAGATTGTTTATTTTTTTAATGCAAATGTCTGATGTTTCAGTACATAATTATTCTCAGCTTATCCAAATGTGCTGTTTACGTATAATCACTATGTCTATGTATAATATAATATATATATTATACATAGACATAATTCCAAAAACAACTATTTGATCGAAAATTCAATCAAAGTTGATCCAATCATCGTGAGAAATCGAATAGGTACAGAAAAATTGTCATAGGGATTAATCTGAGAAGATAGAGAAGAGAAGATCACGATACATATACTAAGAAATTAAACAGTTTAATGCAAGTAAAAATAGATTTATTATGTTATGCTCTATGTATTAAACATTGAGTTTTTAATCATTTACATAAACCGGAATCAGTGCTATAATATGTATAATGTGGGTTTTATTATTCATTTTGATAACAAAGATGTTGTTTGTCTTCATCACTTGCTGAATTTCTGTAAAATTTTTCAGTAATTTATTTCACTATTTGACATGAAAAAAATAATTAACAGAGCTTATAAATAAAAAATATATTTTCGAATGTATTGCAAATGCCACAGCAGGGAATATGGTCTCTTTGATAAGAACATTTGTACTTGATTGTAGTAAGATTTAGCCAGTTGCTTAAAATTACAAAAACAGTTATTTTATCAATACTATCTGATATGAATGTTTTGAAAGCTAACATTTTTATAATACACAGGAGAAATTAAATCTTTATACATTCAAATGAAATACACATAAATCGCCCATTAGTAAACATTCTATAAATTTAGAAACAATGCTTATTGGCAAGGCCATAACTAATATTACAATATCACTGAAATTACAAAATATTTATGTCACAGAAACTTGAAATAAAAATATAACAAGTGAGCTAAGTAGGTTTCACAATTAAAAATTGATAAGATAAAAAAATCTAAATATTCTAATTACCTCTGCTCAAAGTCTATGTAAGCTATATTACACCAAAGTTGTTGGTAAACTATAATAACACATTTAAAAAAATAAGACAGTACATTAAAAGATTTTGTTAACAAATATTATCTATTCACACAATATACATACTCGAGCAATGCCTTTAATTAATTGAATTACAAACACCATTATGATTTAGAATTACAATGAATTTGGAAGAACTATAAAAATTATTTGAAACAAAAACAACGATATGTGCCTATATAAAATAATAGATTATTGATAATAAATAATAATTTAGGACGGAGAACAGAATGATGATTTGGAAACACGCCAAAAAGGAAATTAATTAAAATTATCAAGAATGTAATTAATTAAATAAATGCTAGTGAAATTTAAGCTATAAACTAATTACTGTTAAGTAACACTAAAATGACATATTGAGATCAAATTTTTGTTTTAAACAACAAAAATCTATTGTTAACGAAATAATTGTATAAATAAAGCGAAAATAAACCAGTAAATGTATAAAACAAATAATATGAAGCAATGTATATATTTGTATTAATAATAACTGAAAACTATAAAATGAACAATGACTAGTAAGTCCAAAAAATGATGATAAAGCGATCATTTCAATGATTTTTGTTATAATTCATGGCCTTAATTTCAATATATGCTTTTTTATTTAAGGAAAACTGTGTTACTGCCACAGCGAAAGCGGATAAACACCAAACAGAAAATAATATACAGATTATACAACAAAAATTTATCACAACAATGTTAAGTACCTATATACAAATATCTATGATAATTATAATCTAACATAAATTAATAATCACTAACGATTTAAAATAGAAAACCACATCAATTATTAAAACCTACAATATTTAAGTTATTGTTTTTCACTAGGTCACTAGATTACCTTCCGCAAAAAGTTTTTAATCGATTACGAAATAGATACCATATGCTTACTACTGCATAAAGGTTAGTCTGCATCAATGTTGCCGATATAATTATGAGCAACGTTTCACATATAGTCAACATATAGTCTTACCCATGGTAATTTTGTACTCTCACTCTGTCACGGATAAACTAGTAACATATTAATTAAACGATTAATGCACTGAGAATGACATATTAATTTACGTCATCTTTGTAGTAATTTAATATGTTATTTAAAGACACTTCCACATATTAATGGATTCGTACATACTGAACAAAAAGAACGATGACCATAGCTGACATTTCCAAAATGTCCCACAAAGTCATGTCGTACATCAAATCTAAATAAGTAAACTGCTTCGCACAGTGAAGTCAACTAAACATTCGCTAAACACAACCTTTATAACCTTCCCAACAGAAATGGTATATCATTATAAGGGGAAAGTTTACCAAAAACAAACTACTAGTTTCCCATAAATCGACTACAGCGAACGGTTTGAATTAGCAAATTTGAACATTTTAATGTTCCTGTCAATTCTGTCGGATATCTTATGATATATGTCCGTCCTTACCAATGTCACATTCAAACAATTCAAGTCAAACGCAATTGCGACGAGATAAGGTCTGACTTTAAAACTAACGCGATAGAGTCTAAAATCGCATGCTATAACCGTTTGTTTGATGAATGTCCCAATGGCACATGTCATGTCTAACCCTATTGCAAATATTGTCTGAAAAGCGACCTCACCGCTTATAATATAAGATCGGCAATCGCTTGTCAGTCACTATGTCATTCATCAGGTATTAGCGGTGGAAAGCCGTACGCTTACTGCTGACGGCGCTCCATCACAGCTTGGTGTGCTTAACGGTGTCCGTCCAGTAGTTCTGGATGGTCATCGCTTCCAGCGAGTTGAGGAACGAGTCGTTGTCCAGGCTGTACATCTCCTCCGAGTTGTCCTGGAAGGGGGCATTTGTAACGATTGTGCACTCTAAATACAATAGTGGTAATAGCGGCGTAATCGATTATGTATGTGATAAGGATCCTCAAATAAAGAAGTTTCACTTCTTTCACGTGTAGAAGGTGTACGTGATAGAAGTGCAACTTCTGCGATGTCAGACATACGCTTGAGAGAGAGGGAAGGGAGCTGTTCATTGTAGCTCTCTTTCGGCGTCTCTCTCTTTCATATATTTCTTCTCCTTTCATGAATCGGTGGTACGAGTAGGGCCACGCAACAATGTTCGCTGTTACACGAATGGGCAAGTCCTTCCGGGTAAGTGCCACGACCTCACAGAAGACCGGCATCAAGTAGAAGTCTTACACTTCCGCGTTTCGTCTGGTGAGTGAGGTAGCCGGGGCCCACTTTATTAAAAGGTGACAACTGACAACGCATCTGGAACTCTACGGGTATTGCAAATGTCCATGGGCGGCGGTTATCACTTAACATCAGGTGAACCGCGAGCTCGTATGCCACTTTGTCACATAAAAAAAAAGAAGAATCGAAATGTGCCTATGAGGGTCACGTCCTTGAGTTAATTCTTGCTCAATTATCGCCTAAGAATTTTAATTTAGCGCTCCGACTTTGAAGCATAACAGGGTAGATTGGCGGCCAATGCTATCCACTAGTCACCGTGACAGGTGGTGAGCCTGTCGCTTTATGCCGGTCAGAAATACCGCGCAGTAATTATTGGCCGTTCGATATCCGAACAATGCCAAACTCGATGGCGCAGCCCACAGGATTTCAAACCAACGAAAGCTACAACGCTATATTAAATAGCTATAGTAACTATATAAACGCTATAGTAAATATATAATAAACATTTTGTTAAATGTTTATATGTTTACACTAGTGCTGCTGTCGTTTCAATCTTTTATGTGTCAAAACTCCCCGTAAAAGAGTGAAACGACTTGATTGTCCGTCTGTCTATCCGACCCGAACAGTGATATTTCAAGTAGGTCCACCTATGCACTAGTAATGCCTACGCAGTTGGTTAATGGTTGCTGCAGCTCCTACGAATTCGTCTTTTGCTAATCGCTTAGGGAACGTGTCTTGAGCTGATGTCGAGACCAGATACGGCTCAATGTCTTGCAACCACAAGACTAGAGCGTTCTTGCATTGTGTTCTTTGCCAATCATCATAAAACGTTCCAAATTATCCGAGGCGAGATCTCTCCTCGCGAAATCCGCAAAGGGACGAGTGCGAAAATGAAATATTAAATATTAAAACGCTCATGGTTTGGCTGCAACTTTAAAGTCGACTGCTTAATTTTTTCCTTTTTGCAAAAATAGTGGCCTACTATATAATGTATGAGTAGATTTTGATATTTGAAACTTCAATATCTTGTATCTTGTATTAACTGATGATTGTGCTTTCAGTCCCGAGACTATTAAAGCTTCATCGGACGCAGAACCGGTGGGCTAGCCAGAACCCACGGGTTTTTGGACTTCAATATATTATTCTAAGTGTAGGGAGGTAATTTGCTTAAAGCCAAATAGAAGAGCATGTAAAGAGAATCTCCCCTTTAGTAATGTATACGGAAAAAGAGTGGAACCAAGCATTTTGCATAGTAAGTTTCGCGTCATAGTATAATTTGTGTGTCTTCAAGACAAGAGTGAATAGGCTAGTGCGCTCAGCTAGTAGGTTTACCATTTAAATTTGACCAATAATTACCATTACTTGGGAATGGAGTCAGTTTGTGAGTAAAAAAAACTGAATCTGAGCTAAAAGGCTAAAACTACCCTTTGTAGCAACATATAAAAGCTGCCGTGATGTAAGAATAAATCAAAATGAATTATAATTTAAATCTAACTGCTGAAATTTGTGAAATAAATCCCTTGGAGTTTTAAATTGGCTCATTTAGAAATTCATTTTAAGAGTAAGTTAATGCTCCTTGAAACCGTGCGTACATAGACGAAGGTTACAAAGAAACTTATTATGTTTTAATAAGTAAAGAAATTTATAAAAAAAAATTCGAGCACTTGACTGCCATCCCACCTGATGGTAAGTGGGGATGGTAAGCGCGCTGGGTCAGTAGAAACCTATTCACTCTTGCCTTGAAGACGCCTACGTTGCTACTTGGCCAATTAATGAACTTTGTAAAAGAATTAATTTTGATATGTGTGATGGTGAATAGCAATCAAGGGTCTAAGTTCTGTCAACATACCAGTGAAAATTTTAAATATAAAAAGAAGGTATACTCCAATTGTTATTAGCTTTTATATAATAGCGTTTTGGAAATGTGGTGTCTATTTGTTGTACTGATATTGAAATAATTATTTCAAGAGTACTAGGTGTCGAATTCATTGCCAGTGAGAGGTATTTGAAATAGGATCAGTGGAGGACGTGTTTAATGTTTAAATTGCAATATATAAAAAATATACAATAAAAACACTTTTATAAGAAATAAACATCTGTGATATCTGAATTTATAGTGACTGTATGTTGGAAATATAAGGCCAAAGACCAGGATAATGAATAGATAAAACAATATAAAGTGTACGTGTAAATTTATATCTAAAAACGAAATTTTGAAGAAGCGAATTTTAATAAATATAAGGAAATAAGAGAACGAAAGCAAAAAACATAAAATTAAAAAAGTGTAAGCCAAAATAAACGTAAATTAATTCGCATATCGAATTTAGAACCTGAAAAAGAGACCAGAATGAAAAGAAGATCGGTTGCATAAGCAAATGGGGAATAGAACAATATTGACTTACTCTTATAGTGCTGTCGTCGAGATAGCCACTCGAATCGGGGTTGGAGCATTTGTCGTTCAGCGTTTGAGGCTTGTTGAGGTAGCGTCGTCTGTATAGGACGAAGCCAGTGCTGCCTGCAAGGGCTACCAGCGCTAGAGCGGCGAAGGATATCCCCGCTATAGTGCCCGTATCCATTCTGCTGCTCGGCTCTATTACTTGTCTGGAGGACTCTATTATCGAGGGCATCTTCGTCTGCAGGAGGGTCGTCTCCAGCGACAGGGGCTTCTCGGTGACGATCCTGCTCTCAGAAACGCTGTCAACGATCGCGTCCTTTACAAGGTCGGGCCGCGTGAGGTTGCGCCTTTTGGAGGCAAAGGTCGCGTTCTGCGTTATGCCACCGAGCCCCCATACAGACGCGTTTGTTACAACTGATGCATTGGTGACGGCTTCAGTGACTGTAGAGTTGACAGGCGTCCACTGTACGGGTGTTACTGCGGTTGTGCTATCGAGCGACGCGTTTTTTGGGCTCGATGAATCCGCGGCGATGTGGTGATCCGTGATGTTGGTAGTGGGGGGCCTGGTCGCCACCAGTTGGGGCGATTTGGTGAAGTACATGGCGCGCGCCTGCCGCTCGGCGGGGCGCTGTGGTTCCGTTTCCGATTCAGGCTCCTCGGCAGACAGCTGCGGTGCCTCTGATTGGGGCGCGGCGAGGCTTCGTTCGCTGCTCGCTAGAAGTATATACAGATATTTTTATTTATTACAGAACGTTGGTGTTTTTTTATTCTTACGCACTACGTGATCCTCGTCAGCTTACTTCTTGCTTACTGAAAGCTGGGCTTTTATCTAACAGGATTTTGGGGTAATAGGTAGCTGAAGAAATAGTTCATTGATTGATGCTGCCACAAATGTTTATTAATGAACTAATGTAGTAGATGATGGGAGTTATAAGAAAACTCGTATAAAACAAAATATAGAAATAACACTGAACCAGATTAACTTTCAAAACTAATTTGTTCAGTTTTAATTTATATAAATTCAAATATATATATATATATATATAGAATCATAAGCGAGGAAAAGAAAAAAATATACACATAAAATTAAATTAAAATGTTAATACGACCATAAAGATTTGTTTATTATCTGTAAAAGCACACGTAGTGTTTTGAACCGATGGGAGGCGTAATGAAACCGCGCTGAAATTCGCAGATAGGCGTGAACGACCCGAAAACGGAATAAATGTTAGGATAATTCATGAAACCAACGAGATTTCCATAAATATGAACGTTAAGGCAATCCCCCGCTGAAGCTAACAATGGCGGCATCCCACAATGGAGGGATCGTAACGGCGACTGAGAACATACATATTTACTCAAACATTCGCAAAGATATGTGTAAGTTATGCATCATAGCATGTTATATTACATGGAGGGGTAATCTGTTGTTTTAAATATCGTAGAGTAAGCTTTGACGTTATTATTCGTCGGACTAATCTTGATTAAAAATTTTAGTGTAATATAGGAAAATATATTTATAATGAAAAAAATAATAATGCAAAAGATTGATATATTCATTAATTTTTATGATTAAGTTTTATGAAACAATCTTATAATTATGAGATTCGTTATAAACAAGAAATTTAAAGCCACAATAAACATAGGAAAACGCATATTATTATCATCAGCATTAGCAACAAGAAGTCCCCTAGTATAACAAAAACCCTTACGATATCGTTGATCCAAACAGTAGAAGGCCGAGTATTAGTCGAGTTGAATATCTAATTCATTATTGGTGAGTTATAGGTAGTTCGTGATAAAAATCGGGACGAAATAAAACAATTTAACGACATTGAAGTTGATTTTATAACGGACAGCGTGGGAACGGTAAAATCCTATTTACGGGCTGTCTCAGGCCGTTTGCGAGCGACGTCAAAGTAGGTTATCGGATAACATTTCCCGCGGAATTACGAGTCAATGCTGGCAATCTAATAACGAATCGAGAGACAGAGAGAGCGAGAGAGAGAGAGAGAGAGAGAGAGAGAGAGAGAGAGAGAGAGAGAGAGAGAGATGAGAAAAGGGAGGAGACCCAAGAAAAAGAAGGCGCAATATTAATTCTGAAATGTAATTACTAAAATCGAAGCTAACTAAATGTTTTATGATTAATTTTTATTTTAAGTGCTAGTCTCCGCAATCGAGATGAAACTTTAAATTGTGAATTTTTGTAGGTAAACGAACAAAACTTTCAGTGCTGCTCGATTTGAACCTGCGTCGTCCAGTTTCGCGCCCAGATGCGCGAAAATCTCGACATCAATTTACGTTCTTTCTATTGCATTTTTAGCAACGCCATCTAGTGTGCATCCCTTATAGCATACAGCACGTATAAGTATAAATAAATACTACGGACGTCTCCTGTAGCGAGGTCTCCGCCTACGCTGTTTACAGCAGAAGCTGCTTAGAGACTATCGCAATTGATGAACAAACCTCAATTACCTAATGGGAACGCTGTTTACGGTTGTTTTTACCTACCTTCAGTAAACTCAAAATCTATATAAATAAAATGATAGATGTCTGCCGTCATGACCACGGGAAACTATTGAACAGATCTCAATTAGTTCATTGAAATTATTGTGATATCTTCATTTAATGTGAAATTATTAAAGTTTTAAGAAATTAACGATTTTACTAAGCTACGTGTTTAGTGATCTGTTTTCTTGTTGTGGTAGATAAAATACGGTGTTAGTATAAGCAACACAGACGAAGTTGCTGGTAATTTATTAAACTCAAAAATTTTAGAGAGGAAATGGAACCAACGGGCAATGCAACCACCTCAATCAAAAATCAATAAATACAGCGCCAGCCAAGCGGCCTAAGCATGTGTCCTTTTTTAATGTGAGAAGGTGGCAAACGAAATGGCGATTAAGTATGTCACATTATGTGAAAAACGCCGCCCACAGACATTTTTCAACACCAAATGCAAATGCGTCGCCAGCTTTTGATAGCGGACGCCGGTTGTGATAACTCACCGGACGAATTGCAAAAGTATTACACTTCCACTTCACGGCGGTCTTCTGTGAGGTCGGGGAAGTACCCCGGATGGACCTGTCCATTCGTACAACGGCGTGGTTTACTAATTCTAGTAGATATTTATTTCTCTCTCTTTTGGAATTGCGTGCAAAAGCCACTGCATAGAAACCGATTTCATGCTTTGATCGGTTTATGTTGCAAATGTATAAGACACTACTCACAATCAGAGTCCACAATCATCTATCCCAGGTTAATCTGACTGTCGCAACTTGAACCCGGGGGTGGGACGTGTAATGCATTCAGTGGTCCGTTTACGAGTGCTTGGAATAGGTAAATAGATTTCCTTTCGGCTTGAAGAGCTTATCGAGGGGACATAGTACATGAGGTCACTCATGTTTCTTTTGATTTAGTTCAACAAAATAGTCGCTATTTTGCAAAATAAGGGCCCTATGTAGCGCAAATAACTCAATACACGATTGCATGTGTTATAATTTTCGTTTTGTTACCTGCCCTGCCGGATCTTGGAATTTTAAAATCAAATAAAGACTGTTTATTAAAACATATGGTTTTAAATGTAGAGGCAACAATTTTTGTGCAGTATAAGCTGTGAATAAAACAATTTAATAAATTTCCTTCAACGCCCAATAAAAGTTCATTAATTAAGAAGAAAATTTTATTGAAAGCATAAAACGATTATAAGCATTCGTTATTACGGGTCATCTCACGTTCAGTAATGAGGAGCAGTTAGACAAAAAATCGCACCATTTTTCGCCACAAATAACCACTGACCTACTCTCAATGGTCATTTGCGATTTTAGGATAATTCTTATGCAGTTTCAGTTCAAAGCTTATCGACCGTAATTCCTCGCGTTGTAAACAAACGACCTTCAGATCGCAAAACAGACAAAGCGTACGTTAAATAAATCGGTATGACTCTGACGAGCGTGGTTAGGAAACAACTAAGCAAAGTGGGCGAATTATCGAAGCGGATAATTGGACGATCAGATTGGAGCCGCATTGCGTTAATTAGCGTCGATTCGTTTGTTTCCATTTTCAAACGCGAGTTTCGTGACTGCGTTGGCAATATTGCCGATTCCTTCCGTAAAGACGATGCCCTTATTGACTTCTTGATTTTACGCGAGTATTATACATTATTATTAAATGAAACTAGTTTACGGATTATAACGCGTTTTTACTTAGATCTTGTAAAAGAAAAAAGGAACACATAGCTGACGTGAAGCACCGACGGTTGAAGAAGTCTGCAGTTTGTGATAATTTTAGATCGCCCCAACCACTACATCAGATTTGATCATCCGAAAATCCTCGCAAAAGAACACAGATTCCCAGAGGCTATTGAAATAAAGAAACATCCTTATTTCAATAGAGAAGATAGTTGGGGTGTGATCTGGTGAACTGTGCCCTACGGGTTTTCCAATACCTACTTTAGGCACCAGGGATCCATAATAAATAATCATTTAAATATATCAATTATTATTTATCATCTGCTTGGGATCCCATAATTTATAAAATTAAATCCAAGCACACCAACAGTGCTAGACCTCAAGATGCCATAAGAATTCTTTTGGGTACATCGGTATACAAATAAACAACAAAATAATTTATGGTAGCCGGGGTTAACTTTGACATCAAGATATGCAAACAACTTAGCCTGTCCCGTGCCCATGAACGCTGGAAAGTGTTTGAAATGTCAGTAATTATAAAATCACAATGAAAACGAGATAAAATCCGCAAACTAGTTTCATTTAATATGACAATGCCCTTCTTAATTGTACGAACGCGACACAAAAATATTCGGTAATTTCTATGTGTCAACAGCGTGGGAAAAGGTTTCTAAACTCTTTCCGTTTGGGCAATTCCTCCGGTTGGGCTCTCGAAGTGTCGTTCTTACTTAACTTGCATCTCAACGTGAATTAAAAGATGTAAAATATGTCGAATCATCTAAAAATTATTCGCAGCAAAATGAAATCATGATTACTTACTGAAGTAGGGTAAGCACTGGGCCTTCAATAATTAAAATAATGAACGTATGACGTATTTCGCTGCAATAATAAAATAACATAATTCGAAAAATAACATCGCCGTAATAAAATAATCCAATCCATCTACATGAATATTGTATAGCCTTCAAAATGTCGGGCATTTAATAAAAAATTAAACGCGACAAATACGATGAAGTAGTAGAACCCAATAGTCATTTATTAAAAAGTTTCACACTTTGGAGCATTAATGGCAAGTTAAAGCAAGAGAGGGCTATGTTATATTTTTGTAGACATTACTTATGATTCATTAATTTAACTATGGTAAGGGAAAAAGTTAAGGCTATTAAATCTAATTTGCATGATGTTAAACAATGTCAATTTTTTAAATAAAATTTTGTACACCGTAAATCGGTAGAATATGCGCAAATCGGTTGAGTACTATGTAAAATATCAATGTGAGAAACTATCACCCGGCTGTATTCACGCAAAGAAAATTAATTACGTTTAATTTCATGGTAGGAGAACAGTCGAAGTCAACAAAACAATAAGCCAGTGATTCTCAACCTTTTTTTTGTTGCGGCACAAATTAAACGATTTCAAAATTTGGCGGCACACAAAGAAAATTATTTACTTACTACAACACACTGCATAAATAGTTTATGATAAAAATTTTAAATATACGAAATAAACTAATATATATTACAA